AGCAAAGGCATACCTATTAGAAACCTCATGCTGCTAATAGGCGTATACTTACATTTATCCCAATGATTTGGGGGTTACCAGAGTTGAAAGGCATATTTAAGAGATTCTTTGATGTTTACATGCTGTAGCATTTCTCTGCGTCTTTCTCTGATGCTTATGACTTGCAGTAAGTTTATGGACAGCACAGACCATTTACTTCCTGGCAATTTGTATGGAAATGTCTATACAGAAATTGTAGCAGTTCAGCTTTACTAGGATTTTAATTTTTGTTTGGTTATGCTTTAATATCTATGCATATTATGGCATACAAATACAGAAGAGATCTGGAGCTGCATTGCTATAAGGCTCCTTTCATATCCCTATAATTACACCCGTTTCTCTAATGAGCAAAACAAAACCAGCCCTTCACAAAATAGGCTGATCTTTGACAGTTTTATGGAAGTAGGAGGCCTTTGTGTGCATTTCTGGTGTTCGCTCTTGGTGCTCCAGTGCCGTGATCTTGGATCACCACCTGCTGTCTGCTGAAAGAATTCATCCTACCTCGCATTTGCTGAACCACGTTGCTCCTTGTTGAGATGTGGCCCCCAGCTCCCACCCTTCTGCAAGATACCGCTGTGTGCAGTTTCTTACTGTTTCTCTGCTTAGCTTGGAGCTACAAAGTTTGTTAATTAAGTTAAAGCTGCGTAAACTCTTAGAAACGTGTCCCCACTGGGGATTTTTCACTGGTTTAGCTAATTTGTTTTTTAAACAAAATGTGGGATGGGTTTGTACTAAGCTGTGTAGGCAAAACCCTGACCTAAGGAAGGAAGTTGGCACCTGCAAGGATGCGGCTGGACCTTTGTAGGGCTCAGCACAGAGGCCTGAAAGGGGAGCCCAGATGGATATCCCATATCCTCCTTGTGCACTGAGGGCTTAGGTGCTCATGAATCAGATGTCAACATTTTGCAAGAGGGAAGCTGCTTTGAATTCCCACCTGATGTGGATGAGTGATTTCTGTGGGAGCAGAGCAACAGAATGAATAGAAAACATAAGAATTGCTGGTTTTCTTTGAACTATAGGTTACCATATATTGCACTGAAGTTTCTTCCTTTTTTTTAAGGAGTGTGTGTTAATTACACTGAGTTCCAGTTGCGCTGAACAGCTTTTCCCAGTTTGGTGAGCATGGGATGACAGCTAGCGTGGGTCAACGCATGGCAGCACAAACTCATGGAGAGAGTCTGTTAAGCTGGAACTGCTGAAACTATTCCTGCAGCCAAATGTCCCTCAAGCTCCCCTCCTGGAGACGGCTAGCCACCTTGCATTGTGGCCGAGAGAAGTGTCTGTCTGCTCCTGAACATTAGTTAAGATTTGTTTCATGCCATCACACAAGTTGAAGACAGCAATAGTTTTGGTGGGGAGCTGCAGCCAGGCTTTTCTAGTGCTGTGATGGCATCCTTCTGTGTGTTTGGGGATAGTGGCTACTCTTGGACATATCCATCTCAGTCTGTTGTTGCATTTGAGTCAACGTTTAAGAGAATTTCATGAGCTAAAACTGGCAGGATTGGTAATGCAGTGAGGTATGTTGTCAAGGCTGGGTAGACAAAATACTTTCCGCTGAGTCTCCTATGTATGTACCTTGACCAGGAAGTTTGGGGGTTTCTCCATGTTCTTTGTACCTCCTGAGAAGTGGGAAAAGCAGTGCCTCTGATTCCAGGATTGTCCCTGGTGGGTTAGAAGTAGTGAAAGGAGTTCAGGTTCTATGTTGGAAGATAAATGGGATTTTTTTTTCTTCTGTGTTAGTTCTTGAAAATATGAAGTGTTGCGTAAATGTTGAAATTGGGTAGAATTAACAGAAGAGGTAGCATCTCCTCTGGGTTTGGAGGGTATCAGTATGTTGTGAAACCTGCAGAGATCTCATCGGGAGTCTTTTTCTGTAAACACTAGAGGAGGCAGAATAAAAGTAATTCTAAGGCATCAAAGGAAATTAAAATTACAAAAAAATCAGATGGGAAATGTGTACATAATCGTATCAAGAGAAAAATAATTTGAGATACAGATACTCCATGCAATGATGAAACCTGGACAGGCATAATGGTGATAGATCTACAGATAACCTGAGACATTAAATTAAGGATACATTTGTAATAAAAGATAGCATTTTTGCATGTTAGTGCAATTAGGGGGAAAAAGGGGGGGGGGGGGGGCAATGGTATTAAAATGATTTCATTTTGCACCAGAAATCCCTTGTTTGAAAATCTTAGGAAGGTCAGAGAGAAGTAATAAATAAAGTTACCAGGATATTTTGGCTTGTGAGGTGTGATTAAGCTCAAAATAAATATGTATTATCAAAACACCACAAGCAACAGAAGAGAGAGAGCACTTTTCGTCCTTCAAACGTTTGTAGATAATTGAAGAAGGGAGAGAAAATATTTAAAAGGTTGAAATGTGTTTTAACTGGAAGAGACAGTATTAACTGAGGGGTAAAAACATTGAAAGTAAGATTATATAAGATTTATGGACTGGCATTTTAAGTAGTCTAAGAGTGAGATTAAACAAAACGCTGGAGTATGTCCTTTGGGGAGCAGCCCTGCACCGTTGAGAGGACGGCAGAATAGGTTTTGTTTGCAGCTAATTAGCATTCTCTTCCTCCTATCCGGGGTACTACCGGCTTGTAAATCTAGGTTGTTCTAATAAAATTGGAAATAGTTTCTGCTACTGCATCTTTCCTGGGGTTACCCTACCAATGTTTAAAATTCTAAAAAAAAAAAATCAGTTTCATATTTAACTCCTATTTTAAACAGAAGTAATGGGCAGGCAGCATGGGCTGTATGGAAGCACACAGACAATTGGATATAATAAAATATTGTTAGCAACACTCCATCTGGCATTATCCCAGATGGAGTGGAACTGTCGTGACAGGGGATAAATACTGCAAGTAGGCGAGCGATGGGGTTGCTGATACCTGGTTTGCAATGGGATAACCATCATTCAGCCTCTCCTCCTCCCCGTTTGTGAAACTTGCCCTGCAGTTCTTGATGATGGTTTAGGTGGAGTCAGAAGCTCCCTGCTTTGAAGCCGAGAATGGCAAAGGAGTGAGGAGAAGTGGAGGGCTGGTGCAGCTGCCCTCCTTTCAAGGGGGGGTGAAAAAAAACCCCTGTCCTGCTTTCAGAAAACGTGCTTGTTGTGTGAAAAACCTCCGCAGAGCTACTAGCACGCGACACAGGGCTGCAATGACTCGGGGGAGTGCGTGCAAGGAACTGAGCACTGGCCGTGGCTGGCATGCTTGCCTGAATTTTTCTTTCTCAGATAAGGCTGCAGAGTTTTGTGTTTCTGCAGGCAGCAAGGCTTTGCAGCGGCTGGACTTTAGTTAATGAAACCATCCGTCGTTCGGCACGGGCCAAGGCTGCAGTTCAGCTCCACTAAGCGGTATTGAATGCCCTTCCCTCTCCTTCTCCCCAGCTGCGGGAGCGCATGGCCACGTGGCCCCCAGGGGAGGCAGACCAGATAGACTAATGTCAGAGCAAATTTGGGATTCAGCCAGTGTCTGAATGACCTGGTGCTGGCTGGAGGTGTGCTGCATTTATCATTGTTTCCTTCGCCCGGAAGGGAAAGCTGCAGGTAGGCTGATAAAGGGACTGAAGGGTTTGTCCGGCTTCACTGGAGGTCCGTCAGCCCCTGCATGCTCTCTGCTGAAAGGCTGCTTCGTAATTCCCACTCTGCCTTTACTATCCGCAGGACAAGGTCTGCTTCTTTTACTCCATTGATTTTTAGCATGCTGGTGTCAGAATAGGCTCGAGCACCTCCGGGCTTTGTGGGGGAGGACCCAGGGCTGGAACAGCAGCCAAAATTTAAAATCAGGATTAGTCTGTTGACACATACATAAATCAAACAGCTCTCCTATCATCAATCTTTTCTGTGGATTTTTTTATTTCTGCTGTGGCAGTGGAAGCAGTAAGAGCGGTGCAGCAGCCTGGGCTTCCCAGGGTTGGGTTTCAATGTCAAGGCTGTTCTCCTTCGCCCCGGGTGGCTGAATGCAGCTCCCTGTTCCCCCCTCGGTGAGATCCCTGCAGTGGCTGCAGGACTGCATGCTTTTGTGTTTGCTTTGGGTGGTTTTCAGGCATGGTGGAGTAGGTATTTTTACTGTCTTTTGGGGATATCATTTGCATGGTCATCTGTCTGAGTCATCTGGTTGGTGCCAACTACATCTAAGGCGCTGCTAAAAGTCCACTGTCCTAGCATAGAGGTCTGTGGGATACCCTTAAGCTGAGGGGGGAGTGGGTCATTAATGCCTTGTGTGATGGTAGTGATGCTCAGGACTGGGGAGGGAGTGAGTGTGCTCCAGGCTTGTGTTCTCAACTCAGGTCCCACAGCTCTTTGGTGTCTTCTTTACAGCCAGCACAAAGCAACTGGGATATTCCAGCGCTGGTACCTGAGCACCTGCGCTCTGTACTCAGTGCTGCCAGAGCAAAGGAGGCGGCTGCTGCACAGATCAATTTTAAAATGAGTATTTCTTTTCTCTCACTGTAACACAACAGAGAAGAGCGTGCTCTGAACCACACGATATGTTTGCTTGTGAGAAGAACCACTAGGGTCAGGCTGGAGCAGATGGATCCAGATATGGTACTTCTAGGGACATTAAAGAACCCTGTTCTTCTGTCTGTGTTTCCTTCTCTGTTCCAATGTTTCAGTGCCTCTTCCCCCTTCCAAAATAATGCCTTACTGTGCATAAAGCCTTGTGTGAGATTACAGGGGTATGCAATTTGCAAGCCCAATAATTTGTTTTCCATATACTACCTGGTAGTGAGAAAGTTGCCCAATAAAGATGAACAAAACAGTGTCACAGCTCAGAGGAGCGAGGCATGCTCTTTTTGATAGAGAATATAATAGAAGACTCTGCAACATTATAGTGGCAGTGGGTGGGATATTCACACGAACACGTGTGTGTGCGTCGTTTCTCAGGCTGACGTTTTGATCCATCTTGTGTAGTATAAAGCTGTTTTCTCCTTTTCCTTTTCTTCAGGGTAACCAGGAGCCAGCAGCAACTCCTGATGCAATGGTGCAGCCATTCACCACAATCCCATTTCCGCCACCCCCACAGAACGGGATTCCCACAGAGTACGGGGTGCCACACACTCAGGACTATGCAGGCCAGACCAGCGAGCACAATCTGACGCTCTACGGAAGCACGCAGCCGCATGGAGAGCAGAGCACGAACACGGCCAGCACGCAGAACGGATCTCTTGCAGTAAGTGCAGAAGGGTGCAGAGCCAGGAGAGCAGCACAGTGCTTTGGGAAAAAGCAGCCGTTGATTAGATTGACTGTTTCTTAAGTATGAAGCAAATCAGCAGTAGACTTGAAAAGGAGAGAACTATAAACAAAACATAGCTTCTGACCTTCTATTAACTAGGCTCCTGTCTTTCCCCTTATGCACATTGCCCTCATAAATCGGTGTATGCAAAGAGCAGTAGTACTTGGGATCATGGTGTTTTTACCATGGTGGCATTGTCCGAAGACAGTCCTTTACAAAAGTGTTAATTACCTTGTGTTAATTGGTGAACGGTTCAAATGAATGTGATGGAGGCAAATTCTGGAAGGTTGGCAGTACAAAGGATCAGGGTGAGCACATGCATGGTAGGTGTAATCCCAATGTCGTTTTGTTTTCAGGAAGCTAGAGAATAGAAAAATACTTTTCTTTGACTTTCTGAAGATGGCAGGGAGCTTCAAGGGGCAAAGATAGGAGAGGACCTCTCAGCTACTGGGCATCCATTTGCCAAACAAAGATTTTCACCTTCTTAGATTTTCTTGCTTTCTTCTTCCCATGGCCTGGAACTGGCACTGGGCAACATGCTGGCAGATTATCCCAGGAAAAGCTTTATCCACCCCTTAAGCCACTTGTTAAGACTTAACTTCCTAATAAAGAGCCTTACGGTGAGAACCTTCGGTGCTTGGGGGTGGATTTAATCTGTTAATGCTTTCAGTTTTACTTGTAGTTGGGTGTTTGGCTCGTAGAGATTATTTTCCCCCCTGTAAGTACTGACTGAATTCAGTGCCAATGATTGGAAGAACTGATAGTGCCAGCTCGAGTGTGCATGGTTCCCAGCATGTGCCTCTGCTCCTTCTGCAGCGGGCAGTGGCTGCACAGTTGACACTGCTGGTTATGACTGATAAAATATCTTTGAGTTCATCCTGGGAATGCCACAACTTCAGCAACTTGAAGAAGAAAAAGAGTACAAACCCTGTAAAAGCACATTGATAGTGCATAAAAGGAACTTCAGGTGCCTTACGCGGCAAACACATGTAGTTGAAAAGAGATCAGGCTGGGAATAAAACTTAGAGCTGGTGCAGTGTGCAGAAATGCAAGTCATCATTTCAGTACCAGATTGTCCGATGTCATTCCAACAGTAAGATCTGGGCTACCCGTCTCCAGCAAACAGCTATCTTGAGCATTGCCAGTTGGATGGGAAAGCTGGAAACGTGGAATAAAACAGGGCAGTGGCTTTCCCTATGTATTTTTGCTGTTTCCATCCTTGCCCAGAGCTTAAGAGTGTTTCTTTTTAATGGAAATGATGCGAGCCTTGACCTTGGATGTAAGCTCTTGCCAACCCTCCTGCTCCTCTTCCATATTAGGAGCCATCTCCGTGGCGCTGCAGGGCTGAGCTCTGTGTTTCATCAACTAATGCTGGCTCCGAGGAGCCCACAGTGCGCTGGGAGGCTGGCTAGCCTGCGAGGAGGGACTGGGAGCCCATCTGTGCGGGAGGGAGCGTTGCTGGGAGACTGCTGGGAGGCAGTGGTGTTGCCAGGAGGCTGCGGAGGGAGCCTGACTGGCAGGGGTTATCCGAGAAACAGGCTGAAAAGCACGTAATGCTTGTACTGGCTGTTGGAAACAGGTGGGCGCGTCTGGGCTGACCATTTGACGTGGTTAAAGATGTGCGAGCTGAGCGTGCGGAGTCGGGCTTGCAGACCTGGAAAAGGATAAGGGCACAGATGAGCTCGTTGCTGCTGCTGCTATGGCTGGAACTGATCAAACCCAGATGATCCCAGATGGTGGCACATGAAGAAATCCAGGGGGAGGGGGAAAGCGCCTCAGCGAAGGGCCTTTTGTGTGCCAGTCTTTCACATGCACGGGGTCCTGGATCTTCTGAGTCCCTTTATCTTTCTGTCTAGGGCTCCTTCTGTATGAAGTTATTTTGAATCTGTGGGCTGCCTTGGGATGTAATTGCTCGTAACTTTTCTCCTTCTCAGTATGTTGATTAATGATGTAGGAACTAGGGGAAGGAAGAAGGGTCAGTAGTTACTCAAGCTAAAGCATGCCATTAAAATACAGCAGAATGTGTTGGTTATTTCACCTTGAACAGCTACAGCTAACATCAAGCATCTTGTCCATCACATACACTGGTTATTACTTGACGTACGTGTTCAGTCCACGTGGACTAGACTGCTATGCTTTAAGGCATCTTTTCCTTTCACCATTTTGTTGTCTTGCTCAAACAACAGTGCTACCTTTACTAGAGCAAAAAGTCATTGTGGGTGATGTATGATCCTTCCCATCCATTATTGCGACTGACAAGCGCAGCTGCTGTCGTGTGTGAAGGCGATACCCTAGACCGAACAGCTGGTGGATTTTTTAGCTGCTGACTTGAAGCCTGAGCTCCCATGGGATGTTTCAGAAATTCCTTCAGCCAGACAGATAAGGTCTCTCCTTGCTTTTAAGAGCAAAGCCTGTACTTGGTCCGGTTGGCAGGACAAAGCAAGATAGCGAAAGGTGTGCTCAGGTGGAGGGGCTATCCTGCTTTTCGGGCTGGTAGACTTTAGGAAAATTGCAAAAGTAATGGAGAATATGGGGTGGCTTAAAGGTCCCTCATGGAAAGGGGAGTTTCATCTGTTTGGTGAGATGTTATGCAGCAATGTAATGGGGTCTATAATGGGATCCCTAACACACTGAGTGGGAGCACATTTGATATAAACTTGGCAGATTCTGCTGGGCAAGTCAGATTGAGTGATTTGAGCTTAGCAGTGGTGTCTTGAGTTAAGACAGTGGTCTGGAAGCCTGAGGTCAAACATCAGTGGTGAACTTAAGTAAAATAAACTTTGAGAGTCAAAGTCCATGCCTTCCTATGCAGTCTAAAAGCTCTGAGCGAAAGGGAATGAATGGTTGGTATCATCAGCTAAGGATGAGCTTGATTGTGGAGGTCTGAGTGTAGTGGAAAGCATTCAAAGCTCTCAGAGCAGGGGCATGGAAAAGGAATTGGCACAATAGGTGGTGTAATACAAACAGCTTAATATTTCGGAATCTTTTTTTATTTTAGGATAAAGCCTCATCTGTAGGGCTTTGTTTCTTGCCTGGCATGTGGGTCTCCCGGTCTTCATCTCCAAGCATCTGTCCTTTCTCTTGATACTGTCCCAAAGCACAGCTGAAAGACCTGGATTAAAAATAGACTGAGGTACCAGACCATATTTGGCCTACTGGGTCTGCCTGTTGGAGCCTGTCTCTTAAACCGTTGATGCTCTGCATTTCACTTCTTATGGTGCTGGGTCGCCTGGTTTCTTCCCCCTTCTTGGTTTACATTAGTATGCTTATCCCTAACAGAGACACCCAGCACAGATAGCTGCGAGTGGAGATGCTAATTAGGCTGCAGTACCTCTGGCAGCTGAGCTGATCTAAAGATTCACGGCTGTCAGAAAGGAGAGATCTGGCTCCAAGCGCAAACTCCCACTCGTATTTACTGGCTTTGGCATTCCTTACGTGAGCCACTTTAATTCACTGACCTGGCAGAAAGCTGTCCAATTCTTTTGCTGGGTTAATGAATTAGAGCAGCTCTTGGAGGGATCCAGCAAATGCTGTTGTTGCAAGGTAAGCGTATGGAGTGCATGGCCAGAAGCCGAGAGCAATTGTCAGCTCTCTGCATCTCCTGGTACTCTACCCGCAGAGGGAAGATTAATCATCCACTGAACTAAAAAAGCTTGCTTGATAGTAAATGCAATGCACTTAATACTGTGAGCTGATTATTCAACTCGTTTCTCTTGTTAATGTCAGAGCGAAGAATTTGTGTGTCTGTATAAATTATGGAATGCAGCTGGAGGTATAGAAGTAGAGGAATAAGTTTATGTAAATTACTTTGCATGAAAATGGCAGGTGCTGTCGCCTTGGTGTTACGTTGTCATGAACCAATATAAAGTATTATTTAATTACAGAGCATCGTGTCTCTCGGCTTCTTGATGTGCCATACTGAAACATATTTAACTCATCAGTTATGCCATAAAGCCATATTGACTTTCTGATTTCTTAAATCTAGCAAGGGTTTGGAAAGAAGGGAACCGACAGCACCAAGGGTTCCTCAACTGACTTTGATAACACATGGATGGTCTTAAAATGATGACTTTCCCTTGGGTATTTCTTGCCTAGTCTGAGACTGCAGAATTTTTCCTCTGTAATTATTTTTCATCACTTTAGTAATTAAAGCAATTGCTCATGTGAGGTATTTCAGGTGAAGAATATGTTTAATGAATATCCTCACTTATCTTTTGATACTGCTGAGCAGGCAGACTGCTCAGACGGAAGAACTAGCTTCAAATAAGTAGCTAGCTGTTGATTGTTTGGCCACCTTAGCTTGGAAATTGCTGTCTTGAGTTAGCAAACTCTGACATTTAACATCAGAAATTTGCTTTGAGTATGAGGCAGATTATTTTATTATTTTGAGTATGAGGCAGATTATTGTCAGCACTTGTAGACTTGTGTCTAGTGAGGCAGATTTAAAAATGATTTCAAAAGAGAAATGGGAAATAAATCAGCAAATATCATTATGTTAGAGTATACAGCTGTGGTACTTCTGCATATCTCTGACAGGTTATAGCAGATCTAGAGGTAGTACAGGGAAGGATAATAGTGTTGATGAAAGGGATGTAGCAGGTTCTTTATAAGAAGAAATGAAATCTTCACTTACGACAAGAGCTGACAAGAATGAAGGCACATGACAAGTACATAGAATATTGAATGGTATGGGAAATAAAATAGAGAACTTTCCCATTTTCACTTACTAGGGTGCACACAGGAAATAGAGGGCCACGTATGAAAAAAACAGGGATTTGTTTCTTGTTTTTTTCCATATAATGAAGAATTTAGCATTGGAACTCTTGTCTATAGGATGCTTTGGAAGTTGAGACATCAGCTGGCTCAGTTTGCTGGAGGCTGTGCTGGGAAAATCACCGAACATTTGCCCTGTTCTTACATTCTTCCACAGATGCCAC